GGGGAGGCCTATCATCCAGACCAGTTCCGGATAGGTCGCGCACTATACGGAATAACTCCGCCTGCTGGTTGGATGCTTCGCTTATCCGGTTAGTGAAGTAAGTTCGACAAGCAGCCTTTACCTTAGACAGGTAAAGGTTAGTTGCGACCCTGACAGCTATCCTATTATAATCCGTCAGGTTCTTCCTCCACCTACGCTCTAGCCTTCTCCTATGTCGCTTCAGCGCTCAAAGCTCCTGGTTAAACCAGGGCGCTGGCCGACCTCTACGACGGAGAGGTCATTTAGGCGTGATCGTGTCTATAGCCCTGGTTGCAAAGGTGGACCAGCTATCAACCAGAGCGTCGACAGGAGCGCTAGCCAGGTCCGCCAGGTCCCCTCTCATGACATCCTGGAATACAGCAGGATCCAGTAGCCTTCGAGGGCGGACCATAGAAATAGGTCCCTGCTCCCTGCGAGGGGGGAGAGCCACTATGAGGTTACATTTTATCAGGTGGTGATCTGACCATGACAAGGGGACCGACATGAGGTCAGTCACCATCAGACCACACTCACTCCAACTGGTGGAAAAAAACAGCTCCAATGTGTGGCCACCCACGTGGGTCAGACCGTTGACAAGTTGGGACATGTTCAAGCAAGCCATGGTTTCCAGGAACTCAAGAGCTGGCCCAGTAGCCTCTGCCCCCGCATGCATGTTGAAATCACCCAAGACCAAAAGCCTCGGGGATCCCAACAATACCGCGGAGACAAAGTCGGCCAGCTCCGGAAGGGAAGTGGCTGGGGCGCGGGGAGCATGGTAAACCAGCAAAATCCCAATACTATCCCTGGCCTCAATCGACACGTGGAGTGCCTCTAGACCCGGCTTTACCACCGAGGAGCACCTAGTCACCTCCAAGCTGGATTTATAAACAATGGCTACTGCCCCCCGGCCCTCCAGTCTACCCTGGTGTTGGATGGCATAACCAGGCAGACAGACAAGACCCAGGGGAGGACCCCCCTCTCCGCCAATCCATGTCTCGGTTATGCATGCCAGGTCTGCATCCACCTCCAGGATAAGATCGTGAATCACCTGGGGCATGTTGGATACAGACCTGGCGTTCAACAGTACCAGAGTTAGAGTGGAGGGTTGGCTGGGCTGGCTACCTCGATACTGAGGGTTGGTCACAGTCTCGGAACAATGAACAGCCGTCAGACATCTGTTCTTCTGACACGAGTAGGAACTGTGCCAACACTATATCTCCCTCTACCCGTGATCACTGGGATGTTCAGAGGCCCCTTGCTGGGCAAATATCATCATCTGTTCTTTAAATCACATAGTTACTGTATTGTCTTACAACCAAAAACAGATAAAGGTCATCTGAAAAAGTTTTGGATTAAAACCATGATATGAAACTAAACTTGGTGTTAGCATGTAGAAGAACATATAGATCTGTTCTATATTAAACATGTCAGTGGAAGTTCAAGCCTCTTCTTAATGGTTTATCTCCAAACTGGTTATTTTAAAAAAGAGAGAGCTGTAAATGTGATTAATTGCTTCTGGTAGGTGAGGAGATCCCACAAATGGTAATAAAATATCTACAATATTGGAAACCTTACAGGTCTGGGCCATTTGAACTCTGAAAATTCTCTCTGCTTAACCTGAGTTAAAAAAGCTTTTCTTTTCCAGCTATAGACAATAGTCCAGAAAACATTATATGTACTTCCATCATAAGGAAATCAGTTGTAATATATTACTAATATACGTATAATTAATTTCAATTGGCCTTCAATGTCATTAAAATTATAAGACATGGGTCAATACTGAGAAGCAAGTCATAGTTTAACTGCAGTTATGAGTGAATAGCCCTGACATCAATAAAATCAGCAAGTCAGGATTAATACATGTCCATATATGTTCAGTGGGTTTTAATTCTCCACTATGGAGTCATAATAAACAACAAAGTTTTAGCTTGGTTGGGAACAGTCATTGCATAGTAAAGAAGAGATCTGATCACAAGTCTTCTAGACCAAGTCCTTTTTTCTAATGACTGAGTCATATCAGTATTATTATTTTTACACCATAATATGGTTATTTACTTGATTTTTATCCCAACTTTACCCCAAAACTGGGACTCAAGATTCCTCATAGCAAAATTAAAATAAATACACATAAAAACACAGAACATTATAATGCTGAAACACTAATAAATAAACAAATAATAATCTCAAAAAGACAACTGAATTTAAAGTGTTTAAAATTTAAAAATGCGTAGATTAAATAGTAGTGTAAAAAGTCACTGAGGAACAATTTACTCTTCTCATATTTTTACAAGAGAATAATCCCTAATCAAATTGATTTCAAGGGGATTTGCATAAAATGTTCTGATTGGCATTAATAATCATAATCATGTGCCACCAAGTTAATTTTGACTTAGGGTGACCCAGATAGAGAATACTCAGAGGTGGTTTGCCATTTCCTTTTTCTGGGGGCATTCTGGGATTATGTAGCTTGCCCATGACTATACAGGTTGGCTTTACTCACAGGAGGCACAATGAGGAATCAAACTCCCAACCTCTTGCTTCCAATCATTGAGCTATCCAGCCAGCTAACTGGCATTAGGCGACTTCATATATTTAAAACTGTTTTTAACTCTAAAGCTTCCTGCATATGTGGATCATTGGGACTCCACAGAACAACAGTTTCATTTGGCACTAAATGTTAACAGTTTAGCATAGAGGTCATTGATTAGCATCAGCTGCTGTTCAAGCTAGACAGGGAGCTGAGATTTAGGTTATATTTGGACAAAAACAAGTGCACATGCAGGTCTAGTTATTGAAGATGTGGGCCTATACTATTGCTTGTTCAACAGAGTGGGGGGGGGGGAAAGTCCCCCAAGTATTGGGGGTATGCTTGCATTTGAAATCAAATCCATACAAATTTAGATTTGCAAAAAGTTGGCTATCCCTAAATATCTATATACATTGACATTCAGTAAGCAAGACTTTTTTTCTTTTTTCTTTTGGTCATCTATTAAATTTGGTTACATATTTTATTTTACTATTATTTAAGATGTTAAAGTAACACCACAATTCAAGATTTGTAAAATCAAAACTCTAAAACCAGCAGGATAAAACCATTTTTAAATACACCCACAAAACACATTTGCAAAAGAGAATATTAACTATCTATAAAAACCAGTTGCAGGAAACCTTATGAGATCATCAGTCTAATCTCTCCTGGAGGAGGGTCACAATACAGTTGCAAACATGGGCATTATTCATGGGCAGAGGATCTCATATGGGAGAGTGGACATCTACAAACTTTCAAGGACCTCTAGCCACTATTGTGCCTGGGAATGAACTGGTCACCACTGAGGTGGCTTATCATCCTTGATGTAATTAATGCACTGTCTGATGCTTGCCCATTTTGAAAGATAGCTGGTTGCAGCTCATATGAACAGTAGTTTCCGAACTGAGCTCAAAAGCCATGTAACCACATACAATCCACTACAATAACCAAGATGGCAAGACGCAAAGGTGTGTAGGATGACAGTAGGCAGTGAAAACAGACCTGGTATGGGAAGTATGTGACTGGTTGTTGTTTTTTTCTCTGTAAACTTTGGATGGTGTTTATGTTTGAAGGAATGGGATTCCCTCCACAGTTAACCCACTGCCCACATGTGATGTGAGAGCTTAGCATAAACAATTCCACCGGTGGTAATAGACTTTTAAAATACTTGGCCCTAATGTGTATAGGATAGACTCTGGGGTGCAGCTGGGAAACGTTTAAAGATCTCGATCTAGATTAGACCAAGGTTATACATGTTTTCTTCCAATTCTAATTAAACATGAGTTCTAATACTCTGCGGACTTAGTGGGTGTTGGTCATTTTGATGTTACACAATAAACAGTCCCATGAGTATCATCAAATAGTCTGAATTTAGGGAGCACAGCTAACGGAAACAGTAGACTTTCCCTCACTGAGTGTGTACAAAGCATTTCACAGTCTTTATCCTTCATCATCATCATATTTTATCAGATATGCTCAGAAACAGTGAGGAAGCTGGGGCAACAAACCTGTATCAGGTAGGCTGCACTTTCTGGACTTCCATATCGTAGATCATGTCCGTTAATTGCCAAGACTCGGTCGTTCTTTTGAAGTTGCCCATCTCGGGCAGCAACACCTCCTTCCAGCAAGTTGAAAACAAACACCCCTGTTTCATCAGCCTTGCGAACCAGCTTGATACCCAGCTGCTCATCGGGGCTCCTTTTGTTTAGAACCAAATGAAAGCTGTCATCCCGGTTACAGGGAATGTTGAGAGAAAGTCCACTGTTATGGCACCGGTACCTCTGCTCTCTGAGGACGGTGAGCCGGAGGACTTGGCAAGGCTGCTTCAGGACTGACACAGCGTAGCTGTGTGGCACGTTTCTGATGTCAATGCCATTTACCTGGGAGACAGAGCCATAAATCAGGGATGTAAAAGGCCATCTAATTGGAAGTGGCACTGCAGACAGACGACCTATTTACACAGATGGCCTCTTGCTGCAGTGGCATGCAGCTTTTGTCTCCATCCAAAGAAGCCAAGTTTTTATTATATAACATCCTTCCCTGCAAGGACAGCACACAATGTACTATTTTCTTCCTCTTTTCTTGATTATCTCCAGACATAATGGCTATTTTTCACTTTTTATTAGTGCTCCTTCTCAGGCTTCAGCATCGCCTTCACTCTTTTATCTTTCAAGCACTGATCCCCACTAACATTCAGGATCTATTCTAAAACTCACTCCTGCTTTAAATAGTCAGGGAATCACATATATTTAAAATGTTTTCCAACCGATCAATCTTTTCTTGGTTGTTGTTGTTTTCTGAATAATTTCACATCTCTGCTCATTATTCCAGCACTTTATTTATTTGGCTTGCAACAAATTAAACAATGGTTTAGAGATGCAATTTTATGGCACTGTGATTGACCAACAAATTGAAGTCATTGTGGGAGACTGCTAATTTTTGTAGCAATTAAATTTAGTTTTCTAAGGGATTTTATTCTATGGATCATTAGGATCTTCAGTAAATTTCAGCCATAATCTTGGAAGTAAATTGGATCCTTCACTCTCCAAATCATGGTGTAGATAAGGGACCCAACCAAAGTGAGGGTCCTTTATTGGTAAGCTGCCCATATTACATGTATGTAAACATGGCTATATGTCAATGCATGGCATGGAACTGCTGGTTACACTGGAAACTATTAGGGGAGAACAGAATGAATTAGAAACCATAGTGTCTTAGGACAACAAAGCATTAAACCAGAATTTGGAACAACCTCTAGGGGAAAAGAAATGCACCTCTAACTAGTTCTATTAAATGTTGCACATGACACATAATTATTTTGTAAATGCCAAGTGAGTGCTATAGCACTACGGGGCAGTATATAAGTCTTAGGAACATAATAAAACTAATAATAATAACACTAACGACAGCAACAGAAAAAACTCTTCCAGATGGATATTTCCAATCCAGGATATTAACACAGGGAATGCCTCCAGTAAGGTGGCTGACAGACATTGCTCCTCTTTTGTTAAGTCAACTGCCCTTTTCTGGAAAAAAATCACAACACTTTTCAGCTCTTCTTCGAAAAAGTGTAACAAGACAGGAACTGTAATATCTGTCAACACTAATTGTATTTTGAGGGTGTACTCTCTCTGTACTTTGGCAGTTCCTCAAATACCACCTATTTATTAGGTGTATGTATGTGTGAATAGCAAGGAGAGACAAGAGGGCCTTCTTAAATGAACAGTGAAAAGAAATAGAGGAAAATAATAGAAAGGAAAAGACCAGATATCTGTTCAAAAATTTGGAGATATTAAAGGAACATTTTGTCCAAAGATGGACATGATAAAGGACAAAAATGGTAGGGACCTCACAGAAGCAGAAGACATCAAGAAGAGACAGCAAGTATGCACAGATGAATTATACCAAATAGTATAATTGGTATAATAGTATAATATTAGCGGACCTTGAGCCAGACATCCTGGAGAGTGAAGTCAAGTGGGCCTTAGAAAGCATGGCTAACAACAAGGCCAGTGGAGGTGATGGCATTCCAGTTGAACTATTTAAAATCTTAAAAGATGATGCTGTTAAGGTGCTACACTCAATATGCCAGCAAGTTTGGAAAACTCAGCAGTGGCCAGAGGATTGGAAAAGATCAGTTTACATCCCAATCCCAAAGAAGGCAGTGCCAAAGAATGCTCCAGCTACTATATAATTGCACTCATTTCACACGCTAACAGGGTTATGATCAAAATCCTGCAAGGTAGGCTTCAGCAGTATGTGGACTGAGAACTCCCAGAAGTACAAGCAGGATTTCAAAGGGGCAGAGGAATTAGAGACCAAATTGCTAACATGCGCTGGATTATGGAGAAAGCCAGAGAGTTCCAGAAAAACATCTACTTCTGCCTCATTGACTATGCAAAAGCCTTTGACTCAGTGGACCACAGCAAACTATGGCAAGTTCTTAAAGAAATGGGAGTGCCTGATCACCTTATCTATGTCCTGAGAAATCTCTATGTGGGACAGGAAGCAACAGTTAGAACTGGATATGGAACAACTCCAGGAGGCAGTGGAAGGCAGGAGGGCTTAGCGTGCTTCTGGTCCTTGGGGTCATGAAGAGTCAGACACAACTTAACGACTAAATAACAACAACATGTATGTGTGGCTTTACAAAAAGATCTTCAATTGCTTTCTCCCACTTTTTGACACTCCTCCTCTCTTTCTCCCTTGTTCTTTCAGCAGCCTGCAAGCTCCTGCTTGCTTGCTCGCTCCAAACCCTTTCCATTTACACGACAATACAGCAAGGATTGCTGCAGATTGACTACTTAGGTTTTAACATTTGTGCAGAATAACAATAAATTGGATTTTGCTCTGATGTGCCCATATCAATGGCAAGAACAGCATCTTAAATCCAAATATTCTATTTTAACTAGACAATGGATTACTGTTGAAAGCAAGAAGAAAATCTGTTTGACTTCTAACCAAAATTCTGTTTGGCTTCAAACTGAATCTTCACCAGTGACTTTGAAATAAAAGGAATTTACTATTCTGTCTTCCTGTTGGATTTTGCTCTGATGTGCCCATATCAATGGCAAGAACAGCATCTTAAATCCAAATATTCTATTTTAACTAGACAATGGATTACTGTTGAAAGCAAGAAGAAAATCTGTTTGACTTCTAACCAAAATTCTGTTTGGCTTCAAACTGAATCTTCACCAGTGACTTTGAAATAAAAGGAATTTACTATTCTGTCTTCCTGCATTTTTTCTTTCTCTCACCTCATCTTTTTTTACGTAGTCTGTTTTTATGCTTGCCACACCCTCAAACCAAATTAGAAAAGTCTCCTGGAACCTGTACTATACTTACATTATTATAGCCATTTCACATTTGCATTCTTTTCTGGAAGGACATACCTTCAGTATCATGTCCCCAGGCAGTAGTCTCCCATCTCTGGCAATGATTCCATCTTGATAGATGTGTTGTATGATGATGTGCACCAGTGGCGTTTCATTGCCTCCCACAATCCGAATGGCAAGGCTTTCATTGGAATTGGTGCGGTTGATCTTAATGCTGGTAATTTCACCATCTGGGATGAGATGATACAACCTGGGGAAGGCTGAAATGCACACAGAAAAATCCTTTATTTAGCACTGATACTTTATATAGATAAATCTAACTGCAAAACATGCAGATTTCCTATATCTAAGCCAACGAGGCTTTTAACAGAGTTGTTGTATTTTGAAGGTGAATGAGATGAAATCACAGCCTTATTTGTTTATGATGCTGAGAATATTTTTTAAAAAGAAGTCAGAATACCACATACCAATTTCCATCTCTAGAAATCAATTCTCTAATCTATCTTGTTTATATACAGCAGTTTTCTTTGCCCAACAAACAATTTAATGGTGTGTTGCATAATTATGACCTCCATCAGTGGTTTATGCAGAGGACAGAGATCCAAATGAAAATGGTAGTGGAATGCTGTAATAAACAATAAGAACAAAAACCCTCTAAGGGTGCGGATCTACAACAGCATTCACAGATAGTTGAAAATATGTTTCCAGGAGATGCATCCATCATTCTTCAGCCACCATAATCACGCTAGTTGGGGGATTCTGGAACCTGCACTCTGGCTATTTATCAGAAACCTGTCTTTTATTTCATGAGGGTCAAACTAACCATAAAGCTATTTACACATATACACTAACCTAATTCCAAATATTTTTCAGGAGCTGGTCACAAACAATACAACCGCTGAGACTTGCACACTGCTTCTCCTTATACAGTGGCGCCCCGCTTGACGAATACCTCATTATATGCCAAAATCACTTCACAATGATGTTTTTCCAATCACTACTGCGATCGCAAAACGATGTTTCAAAGGGCTTTTTCGCTTGACGACCGGTTCCCTGCTTTGGGAACCGATTTTTTGCTTAACGACGATCAGAAAACAGCTGATCATCGGGTTTCAAAACGGCCGGCCGCTGTGCAAAATGGCTCCCCGCTGTGTTTAGGAGGGCTTTTTTGCTTTACAGGCACCGGAAAATGGCCGCCCTATGGAGGATCTTCACTGGACGATGAGGTATTTCACTCATTAGAACGCATCAAGCAGTTTTTAATGCATTCTAATGGGTTTTTTAACTTTTGCTTGATGACGATTTCGTTGTACAGCGATTTTGCTGGAACGGATTGTCGTCAAGCGAGGCACCACTGTGCTGCCAAAGCCCAAACATTGGGAACCCCGCTGCAATCTCATAACAGAACTCCCTCAACACACATGCCATACCTAAAATCCCATGAGTCTTAAAAGCAATGTTTCTACTTTAATTCTGAAATTTTATTTTGAGCATTAGAATTTCTGAAATTACAGTACACCATGCATGCTCTGAGGATGTTCTACTATCCTCCCAAATGCCTTTCCTCTTTTCTTGATAGTTTTGTCTTTTTGTTGTTTAGTCGTTTAGTCATGTCTGACTCTTCATGACCCTATGGACAAGAGCACGCCAGGCCCTCCTGTCTTCCACTGCCTCCCGGAGTCAGGTCAAATTCATGTTGGGAGCTTCGATGACACTGTCCAACCATCTTGTCCTCTGTCGTCCCCTTCTCCTCCTGCCTAATCTAGTACAGTATTAACCTTGAAGAAGAGTACTACAGTGTCTGCTGAAATCTGAGGGGTATGTATGTGTCTGGGTACTAATCTAGTCTAGTATTAACCTTGAAGAAGAGTACTACAATGTTTGCTAAAATCTGAGGGGTATGTATGTGTCTGGGTAGTTTTGTTTCTTTAAATGGGTCAATATGGCTACAAACATTTTAAACCTATATTTTTTGGGGTCCTTTCAACTAGAAGTTCATCTCAAAAGCCAATTTCTGTCACAATTTCATACTTGATAAGACAAAATTCTAGTATTAACCTTGAAGAAGAGTACTACAATGTTTGCTAAAATCTGAGGGGTATGTATGTGTCTGGGTAGTTTTGTTTCTTTAAATGGGTCAATATGGCTACAAACATTTTAAACCTATATTTTTTGGGGTCCTTTCAACTAGAAGTTCATCTCAAAAGCCAATTTCTGTCACAATTTCATACTTGATAAGACAAAATAGCCAGGATGGCTGAAATGTTGGGTTTTTTTCCCACAGTAGAAAGCTCAGCAATATTTACGTATTTCACTTCTGCCACAATCACCATCAATGTGCAGCAAAACAAACAAACACAAAGTAACACACACACATACATATGAAACCAAACCAAACCTGCCCACCTGAATAAACAGTGATGTATGCATTAGATATTTATTCATGTCTCAGACATTTCAAGGTCCATAATTCTGATCAACAACACTGGGTCCTGGGATCAGTCCCCTTGATCATTTTACTGCATAGCGCATTGTCCCTCCCTTTAATTGTCTCTCCTGCTGCTTATGCACTTTTCCTTGGGACTGTAGTTTGGAACTGAAGGCTGGGATTAATACTTAATGAGAGCACATGCCAAATAAGGAAGCACAAAACTTTCCATCTTTCAAACTGGGCCTAGTTTAACTGCAGATGCAGAATCTCTCTCTACTAGGAAAAGGCCTGAATCAGCAGCTCATTGTTCAAAATGTTGATTGTGGTAAGCCACTTCCATCCTAAATCAGCCATTCTCAACCTTCCCCCCCCCACCTCTTGGGAGATTTTCTCAAGTTTCAGGTCCCCCCGGTCAAACAATGAAAATGCTATTTTCAGACAAGGATACAACACAAACAGATGAATCTATGGCCCTCTTCAAATGTGCCAGAGCCCCCCAGGGGCCATAGGGCCCCATTTAGAATTGCTATCCTACATGATGATATCCCGTTTTGGTGAGCTCAGTTTAGGTGAGTTCAAAGGATGATAGCCATCACCAAAAAGGACAGCAAATACGAACACTGATTTGCATAAAACTGCATATGCCACCATACCTTTACAAGTTCAAAACTATAAATGATTTTGCAGTTTAAACAGAACTACAGGGCATCTCACTTCACTGGAAAGGGCAGTGACCACGTGATCTCCTGCCCAGATGCTCATTGTGGGACTGGAATTTCAGGGTCCCCAAACTTCCTCCTTAGGTTCCTTTAAATGAGACCAGGACAATCCCTAAATGGATAACTCTTTCAAAAAGAGGATTATCCTTTGGAACCATTTCAAGTGGAAGAATGTCATCCATAAAAGAGGCCATGTGACCACTACTGCAGCCCCATGTGCCCCCCCAACAGCTTCTAACATTAATCTGTGACCAGACTGCCCCTGGAAGCACATCTAGACTAAAAGGCAGAGAATATATAAAGGAATGCAATGACACCAATACTTTGTGGATGCTATCACTTCTTAGCTCAAAAAACAGTCTGTTACCACTGATGGATCTCTTCTGTTTAAAATTCCACATTTGATTAGTCTTGAATGTTGTTTTCACATAACAAGGATTTTATTTTATTTTATTACCGCTTTGGTAATCTACATCTTTATAATCATGATCTTTTCTTTTGGGCACCAATATTTTTTCTTACAAGATCATATTCCTCATTAAAGAAAGTCTCCCAATTTTGTAGAAGGCTATTTTGAATCTGTGAAGATTCTCAGTCATGTAGGAGTAGACATGGTCTAGAGGGGCGGGGTAAAAATCAAATAAATAAATAAATATTATCTGGAAGTTGAGTCATGGCAGTTTGGACTTGTTTCTTGTTAGGTTGAAACGTTTCAGTACTCATCTGTGAGGGTTCAGTTGTTTGCTCCAACTCTTTCTCAAAGAATGCACCCACTTTTCTGGGTTTAGAAATGGGGATAACATTTATTGGGGTATTTAATAACAGTCCGGTGTCAACAAAAGCATTCCAAACATTCTCCCCTTTGGACAACAGGTCTGAAGGGGGGTTCCAGTCATCAGCTTCGAAAGGGTTTTTACCCTGGCTATCTCAGGGTCCGGGCCACTCTGGTGGGGTTTCAGTGTTCAGTAATAATCCCTCCTCTCCTTCCAGTAGGGGGATTGTGTCCTCTTCTCGAATGTCCACCCAGTCACACTCCCTGGGGGGGGGGGGTCTCCCGTGCTTGGGGTTTAACTCACGCCCCGTCCAAGCATCTGCTTCTTTTTTGGGGACTCGCAGTTTCTCTGTCCTCCCTGTCCATGGATCTTCCATCCAGATCCAATTCCAGCCTACCGGTAACTCTCCTTTCCCCCTTTTTATATCCCCTAACCCCGCCTCCACTATTTCCTGCCTTTTCTCTCCCACACCCGCCGAGATAGTCCTGGGTTCTGTGATCATGAGTTTTTTCAAATCCCCTGGGTCCTGTCCGGGAGATCTCATTTTCCAGGGTGGGGGAACTGGTGGGGTCTGGCGGCAGGAGGGATGGCACTCCCGAGAGAGGGGTCTCTCTCTCTCTCCCCCCCCTCCTTACATCATCCAAGTAGCTTCTTCAGTCATTTTTTATCTTTATAAGATTTCTTTTTAGTGCTTCAAAGACAAAACAAGTCTCAGCTACGAAAATCTATATTTCAAAACAGAATATTTTACTGCACTGTACTACTGTATATATTTTTAATTTTGAAATATTTCAAAATCAACAAATGTTGAATTCCACAGAATGCTGCTTGGCTTGGGGAATAACACACACACACTCTGAGTCTACTTACGCAGCAAGAGAAATATGTATTTTACAAACTTATCCTTCCAGACACACTAATCTTTCTGTGCTACAGGCTCGAGATATCAACAAGCAAATGAACCTGTGCTAACTCGCAGCTGACAAAACTGCAGAGCTACAGCAGACTGATTTACCATATGCAGACAAGGCCAGCTCCTGTTAGAATAAGCAGGCTTCCCCCTCATAAAAATCTGTTAGTTCTGCTACTTATTTTGCCCTTCAACAAAAATGACAAAAACTCAAAAATCAGTCTATCCCAAATGCCAACTCTGTCTTCCTGTCTCCAGAGCTGTAATTCTTTTTATTAGGAATTTCCCATCATATTTGTAATGTTTTAATGTGAAGGGAAAACTCTGACCATTGCATACCTTTCTCTGCGTTCTTAAACTTCCATTTCTTATATTGTAGACTGATGAACTGCCAAAACAAGAAAGAGGAAGCTCTCTGTCTTGAAGC